TTTTAATATAAATTGTTAAATATATTAATATTTGCTCTTTCAATGTCATCGTCCAGTCTGCATTTATTGTGTTATTGCGCAGACTGTGGTGTGGTGAATTTAATTTAGCAATAGACTTGGAATGTTATCTAACAGTGAGGCTGTGGCGCAATTTACATTCCCTGCTATTTTAAATGTTCAGAGAGGCTGTGGTGCAAGCGTTTGTTCACGATTATTTGCTCACTGCTATGAATTTATATCGATGAATAACAGCACTGTTGCCAGCGGTTTCTTTTAAGGAATTTCCGTTGCGAACCTATTAAAATATTGGCTTAATGAACAAATTAATTTAGGAATGGTCTTTTATTTTATTAAAAAATTAAATATAGACCTACGAAGAAAAGGTGAATACTATAATGCTTGTTGTTTGTTGGAATATTAGAATACTAGAAAGCTTTCATTGATTGTGATCAGGGCCGGATTAAACACATTAATGTGATGGGACCAGGTGTGGTGGGGTCCTTAAAAATGATATATATGTATGTACTTGGGTACTTCATTGTAATGTGAATTAAGAATATATAGAGTATATTTATTATAATTTTAAATAGGTCAAAAGCAGCGATTGACAAAATGTTTCTTTATGGGGTTTCAAAGCCTTGCCGGTGTGGAGGCCCTGTGACCTAGGCTTCACTGGCCCTATGATAATTTTGCCATGATCCTTTGGTGGGGCTCTATTTATAGCCCTTCTATGAATGTATGGCATGAGTTTGATCATTAATATGGTAAATGTAATATAAGTTATGATTTTGTGGTATTTTTAGGGCCATCATTGGATTGGGTTTGCGTTAATATAGACAAAACCGTATATGTATACATATAAAGTAGAAATGGCGTTGGTGGATGTCTGGGGTCCTAATCCTACTAGTACCTACTTAATATGTTTATTTAAATTTCCATAAACCCTATATATTTAGCTTGTCTTTTGCTTCGAGTCTTTTTCCTTAACAGAAATCTTAAATTGTTAACAGGTTACAGGATTCTGCCAGGTGAAGTTGCTGTATGTTAGGGCGACTCTGTTACCGAGTTGAGGATGCAGAGCTGCTACATTTTTTAGCTATTATATTTTTGGCAGCAATGGTTTAAACAGCTAACGCACGTTTCGTGTTTGGTTTCACTGTCAAACATCTTCAGTTCGGTCTATAATTCAACCAGGAATCGTTGAAATCATTGAATTTGATTATCAAAATGCGTGCTCTGCTAAGAAAGTTCATTTTGGATCGATTTTGGAGTGCAGATCAGCCAGAGGACCTGCAAGAGCTACCAATGTATCCAGAAAAAGTCACAGTTTGCTGCGGTTTATGGGCTGGTGATATCATTGGACCGTACTTCTTTAAAGATGCTGCGAATCGTAAAGTAACTGTTAATGGTGAGCGCTACCGTGAGATGATATCCAACTTTTTATACCCTGAACCCATTGAAAATGGRAAATCAGGGTATAATGGTTTTGTGAAAACGTATGTAACGGGCAGAAGGAGTCATCGCAGACCCCATAAAGTATATATATTCTTGATCAACACGACGAGCTGAGTCGATATAGCCCTGTCCGTCTGTCCGTCCATCCGTCCCTCAGTCCGTCCGTCCGTCCGTATGAGTGCGTCGATCTCAGAACTTCTAAGAGCTAGAGAGCTGAAATTTGGCATGCATACTCGTGTATTTCATACGCAGTACGAGTTTGCTTTATTTTTTCGATAACTCATCCGATAACTTTATTATCGAAAATAATCGAAAAATTGATTTTGTTTTTTCAGCCTAATTTGAACACTTTTAAACCTGAAGTCTTCAAATTTGTGTTGTATATAAAGTTAATGGATACAAAGATTTTGGATACCACGCCCCCTTCGCCCCCAAATTGTTAAAAAAGGTATTTCAAGTACTAGAGACTTGTGCTCTGGAATGTACACATATAGCTCTTAAAAAAGTCACCCTTTACATACATATATTGTATTTTATACTTTGCAGCGCCATTGAGATTTTCAAAAAGTTCTCAGCTTCCGGAAAATTTAGGATCTCTCACAAATAGAAGCAGACAATGTCACATTAATTCATATTCACATAGATTTTTCAATCGATTGTGCTGGCTGAATGTGCAGAGAATCTTATACATGTTGAGTTGATTATCAAATGGATAATACAAAAATAATATAGGTTAATATATGTTTTATGCAAAGAATTTTGGCTTCTGAGGTTAAGTTGTAGTATATTCAGTCTTGGTAATTAAAGAATCGAGCATTGAGCGCAGCTAAAGCACTTTCATTTAACTGGCTCGCTTTTCCTCTTAGCCCATGCATTTTCCCAGTAGCTCGGTGGGCGTGAAAGCATTTTCACTTGTGTGCTGGGAGCGAGTGCTTCGCGCAGCCGCAATGTAATCGCAAAAAGAGCCCCAACACGAACCACAAAAGGGAAAACCTATGGTGGGGCTGGGCTGGTCTGGCTTTGGGTGGTGCTGGGCGGGGGGGTTTTTCTGCAGCTGCGGTTGCTGCAGTGGCTGATTCTCGCTGCTACTGCTGCTGCCGCCGCTGCTGCTGCTGCTGTCAGTTGACGTCGAGTGACATGTTCATCTCGGCATCTTAATGTCGAAACTGAGTCAGGCCCTCGACGTCTTCAGTCTCATTTGCGAAAGTGAAAAGCGTTTCCCGTCGCGGCAGCAGCAACAGCGGCCACAGCGGCGCAGCAGCCACAGCTGATAGGAAAATTAATTTTTGCCATTGCATTGTTTAGCCGGCTGCGAATTGTTTTTCTCCAGCTAGTAATTCAAATTTTGACATAATTTTTAACTTTCTCACTTTTGTGTTGGCGGCCTCTCGCTGTGCAATTTCTCTTGACTTGACCTTTTCGTGCAGCATCAGGGCCTGCATTAGCCGCACCACCCGCACCACCCGCACCACCCGCGCCGCCCTTTTGTTGTAGCTGTTGTCGCCTTTGTGGCTGCCATGGCCTTGGGAATTGCATTTGCTGTTGATTTATTTGTGCAACACGACTGCACCACCAGCACCACTAGCCCCACCAGAACCACCATCAGCACCACAAATCAAAGCCAATTGCTTGTTGATGCTGACTCATTCAGCCACCCCGGTTCCTGCCTGGAGTCGAACCTGTTGAACCGAGGCGAGGCTCCACCACCTCCCGCCTCCCGCCTCCTGCCTCCTGCCTCGCACTGGTTCTAAACGCTTTGACCTTGGTCTGATCTGTGGTAAGTGGCGGGCCATAAATTTTTGGCGCTGCCATTGCGCAAGCGTTGCGCCCCAAATCTGAGTCCAAATACGAAAACGAATGCGAATGCGAATGCGAGTGCGAATTTGAATCAAAAATTGAATACGAAAAGTGAATTGTCGCCAACACTTTGAATAAATTGTTTGGCGATGTGGCAAGCGCCAAAAATTAAATGTAAGCCAAACAGCGAACACCAAACTTCAAACACCCAAATCATATGCGAACACACGATCAAGAACAACAACAACAACAACAACAATATGAGAAGCAAGCGAAAATTGAGAAAAATTAAGCGATCCAATCGCTATTAAATAAGCATAAGCAATAACAGCAACAAAAAGTGTAACAACAAATTATTATTAACAATTTGTGCATTTGCATTTGTTCGGGGTGCAAACACTTTGTCATTACGTTTGTAACTGTAAAAAAGCATAATAATATTTAATT